TTATTTCAAGTTTAGCTCAAATTTTAATTAACTTCATTTAACGGCGTTTGGCACTTACAGGTAAGTGGATGATTATAGGGTTAACCCGGTATGTTGGAATATCCGCATCTGAAGTGGGTATTAAATTTCGTCTGGTAAATTGGGAATGCCAAAATTGCCAGCAAAGATTTAGGGTTATTATGGTAGATTTGCCTAAAGAATGTATGTATGTAGGAATAGGTGAGTTGACGTCAAGCTTTTAATTACCATTCATGAGAATAATGATATAGGTAGGTAATTCAAAAAAAAAAACAATAAATAGAAAAATACAATTATTATCTGCAGATTTATAAGAAAATATTGACATTATTAATACAAAGTGTAAACAAAATTATATGGAACTGTTTTCCCTGGAACACTCGTTAAGTTAGATTTATATTAGAAAATATGTAGGTATACATATAATTTTGAAGGAAAAAGGCAGTGGAATGGAATATAGAAATATTTGAATAGCTTAGAAACAATACACAAACACGAGTTTATTATCTATTAACTATTGATGAGTTACACTATCACCCTTATCCCTATGATTTAGAGTTTCAACCAATGATAAATCACATGGCTTCACAAGGAAAATTCTGAAATATAAACATGTTTTCCAAGGAGTATAATGCGGTGAGGCATCTACGTTCTTTACACCGTTAAAGATTTATAGATAAAAGTGTACGGGTTGGACAGGAAACTAATGCCACATCTGGGCGGTTTTCAAGTGATTGGTTCTTGCGGCAGGCTGCTTTCTCTTCGATAAATAATTATTGATGGTCCAATATTTTTATGTGCAAGGTTTTTTACACCACTTAGCTATCAATTTTTATCAATTTATACCTACCTATAGTATTTTCCCTTACTTTCGGGAGGCAGAGCAAAAAATTGTTTAAGTTCAAATGTAACTTTAAGTACCATCTGCAATCGAATCAGTGAAAATTTTCAGTATAAATTGAGTAAGAACTGACAGATATAAAAATAAAAAAACTAACTATATTTATTTATTTATTTATTTATTAGTGGCGATACAAGTAAATGTTTACACACGTTAAAAAAAGTAATAATAATAAAACATTGCATAGGAATAACTAACAGAAACAATGAATAACATAAATAATAAATAACATTAATTATTAAGACATGTCACAATTAAAATATTCCTCAAAACTATAGAATGCTTTCTTAATTAAATATTCCCTAATCCTAGTTTTAAACTGCCTTGGTGGTAGGTTGCTTACTGCATTAGGAAGTTAGTTGAAAAATTTAATGGCCAGGTACCTAGGGCCGTCCTGACATCTCTTTAGTCTACAATACCCTGACACTAGGTCATTTTGATGTCGAGTATCATATGAATGAACACTAAAGTTTGTTACATACTGGTACTCATTTTTCTTGACATAAAGTAAGCACTCCAAGATATAGACAGATGGCAATGTCATTATACGAAGCTGATGGAAAGCAACCCTGCAGTCATCCCTGTAACCCAAACCCTGCATTATTCTAACAGCCTTTCTTCGGAGACCAAAGACTCTCTTAGATTGGGCTGCGTGCCCTCACGCAAGAATGGAATAGGTCATTGTGGAATGAAAAGGCTAAAGTAGGCTGTTCTTAGAGTATCCAGGGATACAGAATTCGAGAGGCTGCGAAGCATATATACATATTTTGCTAACCCAGCTGTTACATTATCAATTTGGGCATCCCAAACCAGACCAGGATCAAGCTGGACGCCCAGGAACCTTACCCGCTGAACGATATCGGCATCCCCTACGTCCCTCAGGGAAAACACCAATCTCTCCGTCTTATTCTGATTTTAAAGTAGCATATTTGATGCAAACCAGGTCTCGACCCTTCTCTCCACCACTGCAGACTCCCTGACGGCTTCCTCAAGTGTAGATGCCCTGAGGGATATTGTTATGTCATCGGCAAAGAGTGTAAACTTAGCATTTGGAGCCATTAAAGGTAAGTCGTTTATATATATTAGGAAAAGAATGGGACCCAGAATAGACACCTGTGGGACCCCAACAGTTATGTCGCTCCTGGCCGATTCCACTGCTTCAACTGCTCGGGTTCTATCAGACAGGTATGAACTCAATAAAGTTAGGCTATCAGGATCAAAAGAGCTTGAAGCTTCCGCAGGAAAATGTCATGGGAGACGCAGTCGAAGGCCTTACTAAGGTCGCAAAAAAGAGATGCAGTATACTCCATCTCATCAAATGACTGCAATACATAAGAAACCAGGTCAACTATGCTCAGAGTAGTATTTCTGTCCTTCCTGAAACCAAACTGACAATCTGTGAAGAGCCTACCATGTTCAAAAAAGTCTGTAATTTGTTTAGCCATGCACTTTTCAAAAACTTTAGCAAAGGAATTGATAAAATGGTCATTTGAATTTTTCTTAGCCTCTCGAATGGTATTTTTATACAAAGTCCTATATTCCTTAAACTCCTTTGAGAATACTGGATGCTCACACTGCCTACTCAAACTGCCAAGTAAGTTAAGATGCTCACGCATAGCCCTCAGGTTGTCATTAAACCAGCTGATGTTGCTATTCTGGTCCGATCTTACCAAGTAAGTTTTTTCAGGGAATGACCTCAGGTGGGCCTACCTCGAAAACATTCATAACCATAGTACACTTTCCCTTAGCATTCATCTCGCAAGAGCTCACAAAATCCCATGCCTCTGAAGTTATCCACTCATGGAACACAAACATTCCTGACATTGTAATCGGTCTACATACCTTTCTTCCCAGTTCAAAGCCTCTGGGTGAGGTGGCCACATTAAATTCAATCTGTTGACCCAGATGATCAGAAATGCTCAGATCAACAATAGAAGCAGAAACAGAAGAGAGAAGTTCACAAAGATATTGTCAAGACAAGCTAGTGATCTTGTAGCATCGATTATTGTTTTTTCAAAGCCAAAGCTCTTCAGCATATCACATAGAACCACCGCTTCATTCTGGTCAGTTCCAAAATGGACATTAAAATCATCTGCTAAAATGAATTTTTTATTCATACCCAGTTTATTCAAAATTCCTCCAGTGTTTCCCAAAAAGGTGTCAAAACTTCCCTGAGGAGGCCGGTAAATTGCTAAAACATAGAGATCTTTTCATCAGATCAACTTTCTACATAAATACCACAACATTCAACACACTTTTCTACATTAAAACTATTCAAAAAATCCAATGACATTACATTGAAATTCCTATTTATATATATAATAGACCCTCCCCCAGTACTATGTTTTCTAGTAAAGCAGCTGGCAGTTAAAAAGTCAGCAACTTGTGTGGCCTGAGTCTCTTCTTTTGTCATCCAATGCTCTGTTAGCCCTACCACATTAAAGCATTTGTCAGCAAGGAATGCTTCAAGTTCGTTAACTTTATTTCTAAGTGATCTTACATTTAAGTGAATAAATTTTATGTTTTGGAGATCATCTATGATTGTTGTCGATTTTTTCCTGGATCTCTTTTCATCGTTCCTTGCCGACCGTCTGCAGTTTCATAAAATGGTTCGATAATATATCTATGGGCCAAAGATCTGGGGACATACCGGGTGTTTTTCAAAACCCGCTCACCCCTATAACTTTTTTATTTTTCCAAATAAACAAATGAAATTTGGTGTGTTTATTTATGACTCGCATGTGCATTATTTAACGTTTTCAATTATTTATTATCACTTCCGGTATGACCGGAAGTGACCGTAACTTTCTTATTTTAAATGAGTTACGAGTGCAATGACACCTCATATATCACCTTTTGACATTTCATCTCCAAATTATTTAAATTTTTACTTTTTAATCTGGAGTGCCATGAATTAGTTAAAATGCTTAATTTTGCTCCAAGGAACCTGGGAAAATTTGTTTTGATCTTATTTTGTACTTTATATCTTCAAAAGACTCGTTTAAAAATAGTAGAAGCGCATTTTTGGAATTATATAATTTTTTTCAAATGGAAAGAGTATGGCTCATTAACACATTCCGAGAGATCATTTTCTAACGAACAATTTAGTACCACACAATCGCTAGTTTATTCAAAAATTGAACTAAAATATTCCAAAAATATTTAGAATGCTAGGGAAATTCTTCATTTGAGTGATGAACTAGCGATTGTGTGGTACTGAATTGCTCGTTAGAACACACTCTTTTGGAATATTGCTATGAGCCACACCCTTTCCATTTGAAAAAATTGGGATAATTACAAAAATTCACTTCTACTATTTTTCAATGAGTCTGTAGAGGATATAAAATACAAATTAAGATCAAAACATATTTTCCCAGATTCCTTGGAGCAAAATTGAGCATTTTAACTAATTCATGGTACTCTAGATTAAAAAGTAAAAATTAAAATAATTTGAAGATGAAATGTCAAAAAGTGACAAATGAGGTGCCATTATACTCGTAATGTAGTTTTCTATTGAAATAAGGAAAAATATATCTGTCGTCTCATTTGAAATAAGAAAGTTACGGTCACTTCCGGACAAACCGGAAGTGATAATAAATAATTGAATACGTTAAATATTGCACATGCGAGTCATAAATAAACACACCAAATTTCATTTATTTATTTGGAAAAATAAAAAAGTTATAGGGGTGAACGGGTTTTGAAAAACACCTGGTACATACCTATATTCATCCTGCTTATTTTGAGGAACAGTCACCTTGAAAGAACTTTTTTGTGTGTGCTTCGTCTTCATTTTCTCACATGAACATCCCTCACCTAGGTCCTTGCTCTTTAGATAAGCTTAGATATCTTGGCTTACCGTGTCAGGTGTAAAACTAGAAACAAACAAGCTAGACATTTTTTCAGCTGGCTTCAATATGTGGTTGCCTTCACAGGTTCCCCGTTTTGGTTTTGGCCGGAGGCCATCAACGGGCTTTCTTGGTTTCCCATCAATGTTTCTGAAGCCTCTGCGTTTTTGGGTTTCCCATTCTCCATTTATGGCTGATTTTTCAGTTTCGTCGATTTGTTTTTGTTTTTATTTTTGTTCCACAACAGCTGAGGCGTCGTCTTCAGTGTCAGTCAAATTTGACATATCGGCTGTGGTGTTTTTGTTCTTTGGCGCTGTTGCAATATCTTCTTGAGCAGTTTTTTTTTTGGTGTTTGGTTGTTCTCCTAGTTCTGGCCAAAGATGTCGTGGAAACTTCAGTCGTGTTCGTTTCATTTAACGCAGGATCTCGTTCCGTAGTATCGGTACCAGCGTTGCCAATGTGAGCGGCCGAGTTCTCGATAATTTTTTTATGTCGTTGTTGTTCTTTCTTGACTATGTTCTTGATTTCGTCAAGTTTTTTATGCATGCTTTCTTCCATCAGGTCCAATTTATTGCGTAACCAAGAGAATTCTTCTTGCATATTATCATTTTTAGCTTGTAAATCGGATACCTTTTGATTTAGTTTCGCAATTTCTGCGTTTTTCTTTGTTATTTCTTCATCAGTTGTTGGGTTTGGATAGTCAGCACAACTGGGACACAAGACTAGATTTTTACTACCATTCACGACACGTAGTCCTTTAATTCTTAGCGCACAGGATGAGTGATAATTTTCACTGCATCCTTCACACTTATAAGCACTTTGAGCAACATTACTTCTACAGTATTTACACTTTTTTATTTCCGCCGGTAATTTCACGACCATATCATTTGGCGCCATGTTGAATCCTTCTATATAAACTTATTGTCTCCAAGAGAATTTTATTTCTAACTCAAGTATAACATGATTTTAGATTCTAAAAATAAACTATGCAATTGGTAAAGACAATTTAATAAGGAAATAAACCCATCCAGTTACATTTATAGGGTAACACCCCGAATTTTCACCTATAGTAATTTATTTTACTAGTGGTAACATTTTACGATTCAATAAATGGAGCATTTCGCCACTAGAACGTAATACGTTTATTTTACGATCAGAGGGCGCTAAAGCTATATTTCCAATATATTGGCAAAACGAGAATACCGATGATGAAACCAAGCTGGAATAAAAAATGTAATATATTTTTTCTTAGTATCGCTTGTTTAACGTCTTTTTTCTAACAGTTGCCGCTCGGCGTTCACATATTATTCGAGAAACGCCGATAAATTTGGTTATCTAAGGCTCTCTGTAACATAATTGGACCATAATTAGGCCAATATATTAGCAAAGTCTATTATGAACCTCTAGGCAAACGTATGCCTATATACGGACTGTAATGAATCTTTCCCCGGTCCTATTAGTCAATTAATCAATTCAATTTTCCCTTGGTGGATCGGGTTGCTCTCTAGTTAATTAAATACTGTGTACATGGATTATTAGTTGAATAACTATTTGTATAGTATGTTAGGTTCTTGGCAAAATGAAGTCTGTGTTTAGAAGTTGGTTTATTAAACTACAGAAAGTTTGGTTGCATAAAGCAAATATACCCAATTTTATAGAAGCATGTGTAAGCAATATCACTTTTCGAATGTTGACGACTACAGTACATAAAACAGTGCATTGTATTTCCACCACTCACTAACCTAATACAAACTTATTATTTTCTAATCTTTTCTTGGGAAAAATTGAAATTTTTACGTTGAGTGAATAATGATGAATGAAAAAAAAAAATACACCTCACTCAATAATAACACCAAGTCATAGTATGTATTTCACATTATTAGCCAGGTAAAACAGTTTTTACTGGCGATTGAAAAAAATGACTAGCGAGCCGTAGCCATACAATCACATACTTCTCATAAACTCTGATGCAAATCCATTATTCAAACTTTTTCATTCATATGGAATTTAATAACAGATAGATAATCTTTGTGCTTTATGAAAGCAAAAGAAAAATTCTAATCCCCTTTGTTTCAGCGGCTCTCTGCTGCTGAATTTCTCACTAATAACATTTTTGAATTTTATTTTTTTTTTTTTGTTGCTTTTGTTATTATCGATATTAATGCCCTACATTGTTTTTAAGCCTCGGATAAATTCTCATACCTGGGTACCCTATTTATTCAATAATCCGGAAAGATAAGTCGGGCAGTTTATTTAGATTGCAGATAACTATTTGAGGTACTTTGCGCAGAATTTTGTTGCCTAATTACCACCAGGTAAAAACTTAATGATAAAATGCAAAAATACCAACTGTTGCTATATTAGGAGTTACAGGCTCCAAAAAATACAGAGATTTGTTGGGTTGAGGTGAGAGCTTTTCTGCTATTTACGAAAAAGGGCCTGCGATATGTATAAGGAAAATTTGTAAATATTTTAAGAAAAGTAGAATATGTGTATATTTAGAACGTTGATGTCACATCCGCAAAAATTAAGTATTAAATTAGGGAACCATCAAAACTGTTCTGTTGCTCCCGAAGGATAACGCGTTCTCCTAAACTCTAGTGAAAGTTTGATTAAGTATCGAAATTAGCAACACTAAACTCTAATCTTCATTAAAACTTGAACAAGAACTTGAGGTTATTAGTATGTTTTAATTTAAATTAATGTGGAAGGGTTCTGGTTTTATGTAGACTTCAAGATAATCGGAAATGATTAATGCTGCAACGGAGTGTTTGTTGAACATTTACTTAACGATGCTGCTGGGGCTTAACCAGATTCTCAATGTTTCTAAGAATTTTGTATTAGGAATATTTGAGGAAATCTCTTCTTTAAATGTAAGCTTTTGCATAAATTATTCGATATAAAGAGTTTGATACCACGTCATATTTATTATTTTCTCTCTCGTATGACTGTGTCGAAATTCAGTTCATTCTTATTATTTGGAAAATGTTACTACAATTTTATTGAAATAAACAAGACCTGGATAATTTATTACCTGAAATGGATCGCGAATAGTTTTTCCTTCGATTTGCAAAGATGGCTAATTTTGTGCGACCTTATTCGGCCAGTTAGTCGTCACCCGTTTCGCAGTTCGGTCCACTCATTTTATTTTATGCTTTTGGTAATACTTTCATATAAATAGTCCATTCAAAATTGAATCCGTTACACGTCATCAATGATCAACTAGTTTCATTCATATATCTTTATTATCCACAACTTCAACATCCAAGCTTTTTTTCTGCCAAGTAATTCTTTGCCTAAATCGCTGTCATACGAAAACTTCCGAAAAACGTCTTCAGAGGAAAAGCGACGGGAAAATCACTTATCTATTTGAAATGTCTTTTTCAGGCCTTGCACTGCGGAATGCGACAGTAATAATAATTAGATATTAGAGGATTATATTGGAACACTGGTAACTAGTTAGTCACCTTTGATAATACATTTCTTCGCAAACTTTCACATAGTTTGATGCTGGTTTCATTATACGCCACTTCAATATACAAGTTTTCCTTCTGCCATCGAACTCTAAATTGATTAGTTATAAAAATATTTGCACATGTTTTTCAGGGGAAAATCAGTGAAATATTATGTAATTTCAAATGTATTTCGCTGACAAGGATTAGCACTGTAGTGTAGTCAAATTAGCAGATTTTGGGGAGTGAGGTGGAACAAATTAAAGACAAATGTTTAATGGTGGAAAGTTGAAGAGGAAGGTGTCCTAAATAATATACTAAAAGTCCCATCCAATCTAACAATGGCAAGTTTTGAAAAATCGTCACCATTTTCAATTTTTCAAGTTTTTAGATTTACCTATTCCTAAAACATCCGGGTTTTTTGAAAACTTTCAAGTTAGGTATATTTTTCAAATTGAATTTTTTCTGATTTTTTCAAATATTCTCTATACTTTCTATTCAGTTTACAAAGTTTGAAATTTGATTTGCAATTATGTTATCCAAAAAATCCATGCCATATTGTTTAAGACACTGACATGACTTATAAGCCATAAATCGGGAAATAAATAATCGCTCACCAATACGATATTATTACTAACGAATAGGAATCCCTATGGCAAAATCTATATATAAATAAAAAAAAAAAAAAAAAACGAGCGCGTCTGCTACTCTTCCATTTGCAAAAATGCGATTTGTTATTTGGTTTTTGAATACCTATCAAATATTTCTGTTGAATGTTTTCTCAATCTCAATAATCTCTGGTGAATTTATTGGTGTGGATTCTCATTCTCAAAGATGTTTGTTGAGTTGGATCGCATTCTTGAGAGTCTGTTATTAGTTTTTCATTCTGAAAAATTTCTGTTGAATCTGTCGTAATTTCCATTCTCAAAGAATAAAACTCTCTGTTGAATCTGGCTAGTTTGTTTTTCATTTGCAATGAAAAGCTGATGAGCTGTTCTTAATTTTTACAGATTTCCATTGAATTTTTCTCATTCTCAAGAATCTTTGGTAGATTTTGTTGTTTGGTTTCTGATTCTCAAATATTTCGGTTGGATGTTTTTTCATTCTCAAAGATGTCTGTTTTGATCGTCGTTCTTTAGAATCTGTTATTAGTTTTTCATTATTTCATTCTGAAGAACCTCTCTCGTAGTTCCCCATTCCCAGAGAATAATAATAATAATAATATAATAATAATCAGCTGTTGAGCTGTTTTTAATTTTTGAAGATTTCTGTTGGATGTTTCCCATTTTCAAGAATCTTTGGTAGATTTGTTGTTAGGTTTCTGTTTCTCAGATATTTCGGTTGATTGTTTTCTCATTTTCAAGAATTTGTGGTGAATTTATTGTGTGGTTTGTCATCCTAAAAAACTTCTGTTCAGTTGGTTGTCATTCTTGAGAATCTGTCTTGTAGTTTTTTAATCTAAAAAATCGTCTTATCTGCTAGCTGTTTCCCATTCGTAAAAGTATGGCTCTCTTTTTTATGTATCGTTTGTTTACGCCTACTACTTCAAGGACCAGTTTATTCAACTTCTGATAAACTGATAATGCAATCTGACGAATAAAAATTGGCTAGTTATCCGTCGACCAATAGAATTATATGAGGTCCAAAATAATCAATTCAAGTCACGATAGCTTTGAATTGAACAAACCCAACTGAAAAACAACACATAAATGAAGAAGACGAGGAAGATCGTAGGAAGATCTAATTTTATGTTAGATGTTAAAATTATTATTGATTGTTTTTTTTTTATGAAATTATTTTAGGTTTTCAACTAAGAGTGATCGTAACAACAATGGCATTTATTGAAAAAAAAAATTTTTTGCTATTTTTATTAAAACTATCAAATATGTATATGTGGTACGGATCAACACTTAATGTAATTTTTCATTTCCTATAAGAAATGTATTTATATTGAAAATTTCTCAAAAAATTCTTACTTTTGAAGATACTTATGTACAAAAATATCAACAAAATCATAAAGAACAAAATGGCGGCCATTTTTCTCTAACTTGCCATTGTAATATTTCATGGGACTTTTGAGTATGTTATAATGAATAATGACCATAAAAACAATACATTTTCGTTGAAAAACTCTTGTCTTTAATTTGTTCCACCCCAACTGCCAATTTAACCACACTACTGTGAAATGCAACAACAGTAATAATTAGATTTTGAGGGATTACAAGGAACAATAACAAATATTTAGCAGAAAAATATCACTGATTATTCCACTCATGTGTTAGAAATCCCATAAGACAAGTGACGATTTTCAGAATTACAGCGAAAATTCTCTTTTCCATTTGTTTAACTAGAGAGAATTACAGCGATAATTCTCCCATGTTATTGTATACATGGTTGTCATGCTAATTTTTGATACAAACAAACGGTTCCTGATAGCAACCATTT